ATATTCTTAAAAATCAGATTAATCAATAGTATATTATATCTATTAAAGGTCCATTTTTCGAGCTAAGTTGTTTGAAATTAATCCACCATTGATTAGGATAACTCCTTATGAATTAATCGAATAAATAATGCTAGCAATTACAGCCTTATTTTCTGTTACATTACAATTAATGAGTTAAGCTATTCCATCATTTTATACAAACAATACTCCTCCAATTAGAGAAAAGTTTTCAACAAAACCACTATCTTTGATTGTTATATTTCCATTTAACTAAGAAAATAATATACCATGGTATCCATAGTTATTATAGAAGATACTATTTTCAACTAGTATATTTGAATTAAATCCCTAAATCATTATTATTGATCCTCTCTCGAATCCATAATTGTCTTTAAATGAAATACCTTACATCTTAATTTTTGCATAAGGCTCCACTGATATAAGTGATCATATTCTACCATAGTTTCCAACAAAAATAGTGTTTGCTACATTGATTAACTATAGCATATCACTTTATGGTGATTTAGGAATGAAATTGAACAATCTTCCAGAGTTATTTCTTATTTCAACTTTATCAATCCTTAAGATTTTGGAGAGATGCTTGAATTCGAAAAATGATGCATCTCCTAGGATATTTCTTGTTAACTTGAAATTGCTTAGTGTGATATTCATATTTTCAAATTCTATGTCTTCTATTACAATCATTGAGTATTTGTCTACTTTGAAGCAGCCAATTATTGAAGTATTATTAAGCTCAACATTAATTTTATCATTCATAGATTAGAAAATGATTTAGCTGAGTTTCATAAATGAAATCTTTGAATCTTCGAGATAAGCCTAGTTTAATTTAAACGAGTAAGAGTCTTCCTCCATTATTGGAAGAAGCTGATAGAGATCAATCAAGTATAACTTTACTATAAGAGTTTAAGAAAGATATTTACCATCATTATTCTTGTAAAGACTTATAAGGTCCAAATTTTCAAAAGAAATCTTAGTTGAATGTTGAATCAATATAAGATTTTATG